AAGATTTAAATACATTTAGGAAATTGTAAAAATGATCAAAGTAGCTGGTGGTGAGTTTTTTTACGTGGGAGCAGCCTCAGGGCGGACCGAGTGGAGAAAGTGGGCATTCCCTTCGGTGGATGAGGCAAGGAATGCCCCAATGTTTCATGCATACACGGTTCAATATTAATAGATGAAATTACTCTCCCCCACCTCTCCCTCCCCTACCCCTAGCTTCACTACACTTTTTACCATTTCTTCTTGTGGTTCTTTTTGAAACCTTCTATAACTCTAAACCTCTGTTTGTCAGCTTCTAATGGTGTCTGTTGACTCTCTTTTAAAAGGTGAAAGCTGTCCTCACCTGTACTGTTCTCCTCTTCTCTTTCCTCTGCCTTGACTTTGTTAGTTCTATTTTTATTTCTTCTACTGACTACTTTTAGAGCATTTGGTGATACTCACTAAGCTCTGTTCTTGACCCATCACCTTCAGACAGCTTTCCCTTCCTGCCACCTGCCCCTGGTTTGGGCTCTCCTTCTCTTGTGCCTGCAGTACTGCAGCTGCCACTCCGAGGTCTCCCTGCCACGTGCCTTGTCACACGTTTGGTTAGTCCCACACAGTAATCAGAGTGATCCTCTTGAGATAGAAGTCCCACCATGTCGCTCTTGCTGGAACCTTCAACGCAGTGAGCGCCTATCTCACTGGGACCCACAGGCTGAAGTTCTTCCTCTGACTGACATGACCTCCGTGTTACCTCTAACCTCGCTTTCCCTCTGTTCCAGCCACTCGGGGCTTCTGCCTTTCTCAGGTCGCGCCAGGCTTATGTGCCTCGGGCCCTTTGCTCGTGCTGCTGTCTGCCCGGGATGCTCTTTACTGGGTGCCGGGATGGTCAGTGATTCCATTTCTCTCGGAGTCTATTCACAGGTCCTCTGCTCGGTCACGCCTTCTCTAAAATTTCAACAGCTGCTTTCCTCTGCCCCACAAACTTCATATCCCCCTCCTCTGCCTTTTTTTCTTCAGGTCCTAATTCCATCAAATACACTATGTATTTTTAAAAGTCTACCTTGTTCACGGTCATTTTCTTCCACAGGTAATTTTTGTAAATTTTGTAAGATTGATGATGTTTATCTGTTTTATTCAACACAGTACCCCCAGTTTAGCGCACAGCTTTTGAATGAATGGCCAGTTTTCATTCCCGTCTGAAGCACTGAGAGCTGCCGCTGAGGTGGCACCTGTAGCTGCTCCCGTCCCTGCTCCGTGTTGGCAGAGTGTGTGTCTCGCTCACTGTCAGTACTGCGCCTGGCATGGGCTTGGTTCCCAGTTAATGTCTGTATTTGGGATTTGTGTAGTTAGTGAACCTTTAGCCTGTGCAGACAGGTCAGCAAGCCCATTTTAATTTTAGGAACTGCCAGCGGCCTTGGTTTTAAACAACAAGTGGCCTGCGGCCGCCCCGGGCATGACCCCCGCTGTGTGTGCTCTGAGCATCTTGGCTGCTCGCCTTTGTCACCAGCGAGTTCCACTTCTCAGTGGCCTGAGCACAGACGACACGCACTTTGCAGACTTGGGTTTTTCTGTTAAAATTAAAAATTTTTTTTTAAGTGAGCCTAATAGTTTCCTGAACTATTATGTTCAGGAAAGTTATGTTGTTGCTGATTCTGATGGGGGGTGTGTGTGTGTGTGTGTGTGTGATTAGATGGAGGGGTGTGTGTGTGTGTGTGTGTGGTGAGAAGAGAGAGAGAAGGATGAGAGAGAGAGAAGTCGGGTCTAAAGTTCTGTCAGGCTTAGGGACTATGCCTGCAATACTTGAACCTTTCTAGACAGAGGTGCCCCGGAATGTTTAACTAGAATCATGACCAGCATCATAACTGCATGCGGTTGTCTTTCTTTTCAGAGATGAGAACTTGGCAACTCCTTCGACCGTCTCGTCCTGTCAAAGCGTACAGTGAGAACTGGGAAGCCAAATCACTGCGGACGGGAGAAGCCCGGAGCAACATACCTCACTCAAATGTCTGCAAGTCTCTGGCCCCGCCATTTGGCGCACTGGTGAGAGAAGGCTCCTCGGAGGTGGTGGTTGCAAGTAAGTGTATCGAAGGCCAGCACTGGTGAGAGAGGGTCTCCTCAGTGTGGTGGTCAGGTATGTAGTGAGTGTATCCAGGCGGCACTTGAGTGAGAGAGGGACCTACCTCAAGTGAGGTGGTGGTTGTAGTGAGTGTATCACAGCGGCAACTGAGTAAAAGAGAGAGGGCCTCTCGTGAAACAGTGGGTTGTAGTGGTGTATCACGGCCGGCACTGCTGAGAGAGGCACTCCTCGTGGGTGGTAGGCTTGGTAGATAGAGATGTCATCACAGGGCCAAGCACAACTGAGTGAGGAGCAGAGGTCTCCTCGTGGAGGTGGTTGGTAGTGAGTGTATCGAAGGCTGGCAACAAGTGCGTGAGAGAGGCCTCCTGGTGAGGGTGGTTGTAGGAGTGGTATCAAGGCCGGCACTGTGAGAAGGGCCTCCTCGTGGGTGGGGTTGTAGTGAGTGAATCGAAAGCTGCACTGGTGAGAGAGCCTCTCGTGGGGTGGTTGTAGTGAGTGATATCGAAGGCTGGCACTGGTGAGAGAGCTCCTCGTGGATGGTTATGTATAGTGTATCACAGCCGGCAACTGTGAGAGAGGGTTCTCGTGAGGTGGTGTTGTAGTTGAGTGTATCGAAGGCTTGCACTGGCTGAGAGAGGCCTCCTCGTGGATGGGTGCAGTGAGAGAGAAGTGGTAACGAAGACGCCGAGCACCTGTCGAGAGAGGCTCTCGTGGGTGTTGTAGGAGTGTATCACAGGCCGGCATGGTGTGAGAAGGCCTCCTCGTGTGTGGTGTGGTGTAGTGGTGTATCGAAGGCAGGTCCGGCAAGACCTCCTCATGGTGGTTGTGTGCATGGTTCCAAATCAGTAGATGGGGATTCTTTGGAGGCACTGTTACCTCTGCAGCATTGG